TTTATAGACTAATATGAAGCTCGTCTCGTCGCTCAGGGGTTCCAATAGAGACATGGACTTAACTTGGGAGACATGTTCAGTCATTTGATTAAACCCGCAACCCTTCGACGATACTTTCCTTTGCAGTTACCTGGTAGGCCAGGTAGTTAGACATTGTCAATGCCTTCCTCCATGGCTCGCTCACTAAGGATGTATTTATGAAACAACCTCCTGGCTTCATTGATCCTGATCGACCCAACCATGTGCCACCTTAAGCTCTCCCTCTATGACCTCATACAGGCTCCTCGCGCTTAGTTCAACTGCCTCCACCAAGCTCTCGATGAATTTGGCTATTGTGGCTTCAAGACGTACATTTTCTTATTCATCTAGTGTCGTGACACTATTCATCTCTATGTATTGGTCTGTGTGGATGACATCATACTAATGCGCAATTATCAAAGTTGCTTCATGCTACTCTCACATTTCTGCAACATAAATTTGCAGTATGTGACCTCGCCATCCTCTCATATTTCATCGGAATTGAAGCTCACCAACAAGCTAATGGACTCCATCTCTCACAAAAGAAATATATCACTCAACTTCTCGCACAAGCAAAGATGATGGATCATGCCCATCTGCACTCCCGCTACAGTCACCACCAAAGATCTTGACTGCACTCCACTCCGTGATGGCTCCTTGTATCAGTAAAATCATCGGGTCTCTATAGTATCTTCAGTTCACTCGTCTCGATCTATCACACGCTATCAATTATTGTGCCCCACACTTGCATGCTCCTCATCAACATCATTGTACAACGTTAACCGAATCTTACATTATTTGCGGGATACACCAGACCATGGCCTCCACTTCAGCACTCACACAGATACACAAATCTCCGACTATTCTGATGCAAAATGGGACAAGAATGTTACTGATCGTCGTTCCACAACAGGGTAAGCTGTCCACTTGGGTTCTCATCTCCTGGTCTTCCTACAAACAAAAGATTGTGGTTCGTTCATCCACAAAAGATTGCCACCACTATCCAATATTTTGCTAATTTGTTAACTTGTAACGTTGTATATATCTGCCATTTGAAGTGAATATAAAGTGTGCGAAAACATTGAAATTATAGATGATTCATCCCATCCCCGCTCTACAAGTTTTAATATCCCATCATTTGTGTTCATTTTGTAGATTCCAGTTGATGACTTGCTCCATCCTTGCACCTAGTCGCTCTTGGGAGTTAGAGATTATTTGTTTGGCTATGGAAATTTGAAAACGGGAAATTTGTCATAATTCCCACATTATGGAAAACCTGAGAAATATCAAGTGGAAATTGGTGGAAATTCCATGTTTGGAATGGGTGCAAGAATGTGAAAATCATTGGTGTGAGATTAAGTTAAAGTACCATTTAGCCCTTCATTGCACCTAGTCGCTCTTGGGAGTTAGAGATTATTTGTTTGGCTATGGAAATTTGAAAACGGGAAATTTGTCATAATTCCCACATTATGGAAAACCTGAGAAATATCAAGTGGAAATTGGTTGAAATTCCATGTTTGGAATGGGTGCAAGAATGTGAAAATCATTGGTGTGAGATTAAGTTAAAGTACCATTTAGCCCTTTCTTATGTAAACTCATAATCAACCTCACATATAAACGTTTGCTTCTAACGAAGACACAATGCTTCAAGGGAAATCAATCCCCCACTTCTCGTTCTCAATCCTCAAACACAATAAATCAATTTGCCCAAGTTTTTATTGAATTAGAAAACAGTTGGGAGTACAAGTTTGCTTATGTTTCAACAACCAAAAAACACAACAAAACACCACCATGCATCGACACAACAGAAGAAACACAACAACAACATTGTAGCGGCAAGCCAGCAATAACACAATAGCACAACAAGAATATAGCAGTTGGCTTTCCATTCAATAGGCGACTTTCTACTCAAGCTTAATAGAACCCTCTCGAATGACCAATCTATTTTCTAGAATTATTTTTCCTTCTTCATGAAGTCATCTCAATTCCATCCAGAATAATTCCAACATTAGACCTCGTCCATGCAATTGTCTACACATTTGTGGATTGTACTAGAACTCCATTGTTTGCTTGGTCGAATTTGGTCAAGGCAATCTATTGTGACAATTGTTTGATTGAACTAGGGTTTTTTAAATAGCGACATGAGATAAATAGTGGAATGAAGAAGATGAAAGATTGGGAGGAAGAAGATGGGTACGAAAGGGAGAAAGCAGAGGGAGGATCGAGAAGAGAAGGAGGAAGAAGATGACTCAGGGTAGGGGAGAGACGCATAAATCATAAGTAAGAGGGTGGGTTAAATTTGGGATGAAAATAGTAGAAATGTGGGAATGTCAATTGTGGGGAGGTGGGTGTTGTATTTCCCATTACTGCGATCGAGGTTCTGTTATCCCATTTCCATGGTCCAATTCCCACATGTTTTGGGCTCAGCCAAACATGAGATTTTAACCAAATTACAACATTATGTAGAAATTGGGGTCAATTCTCACACCCAATTTTCCAAACAACCCCAGAAGGTTCTATGCATCTTGGCAATCCGATAGCCATGCAACAGGCTTTGGAATGATATAACTTTCTTCTATGCTTTAGTTATTAAACAAATGATTGCATCTTCTCTTCCAAATATGTCTTAGAATAACACAAAGTCTTTGGAGATTTTCATCTAATTATGTCTGAAAGACGGCGAAGAAACCGTCCCAACCTAACTACATTCACCCTATAGAATCACAACCTTGTTGATTCGAAGAGGTTGAGATGGACGAATTTTTGGTGCATCTGGTTTTGGTGCTGGACGAGGTTGAGATGATGTGGAGGTTAACAAAATTTCAGAGTTGGAATTCGACTGGGAACAAGTACTACGGGATTTAACCCCGCTCGCTGGAAGCATATTGGTGTTGCCATGGATATTGGAATGGAACCAAACATACAGAGCATTACGCTCGAATAAAAGTATTTATTTTTCCTGTCTCTACACAAATACACAAATGCCTGGTCTAGTTCACGTCCAAGGTGGATCACAGGTATGGGTATTTGCTAGGGGTATTAATGTAACAATCTCACATCAAATCATTGTAATTGGGTTTCTTATATTTTGCCTTGCTTGTCAATTTATACGGCATTGAGTTGATCATGGATCTCGTACATAATTTCTTCAGAGTTATATCTATTTTGTTTTAAGTTGGAAATCACATTTTTCTCATAAAAATATATAAAATATGTTGAGGATATTAATTACTTAGTCAAAAAGTAATTAATTCCTTGTCCTACAAGTCCCTAGTTTCCTTGTTCAAGTAAAAGAAGGAAACTTGGTTGTCATTAGGGTTTTAACCCTAAGTCTATATCTATAAAAGCTTAGCTACGGTCATGTCGTAAGCAAGCCGTCAAGATGTAGTCGTATAATAAAACATCAGTCGTGAGCTCGTTCCGAGCTCACCGTGGATTAGTCTCGATCAATCAATCGATCGAGGATACCACGTAAAATCTTGTGTTCTGTGTTCGTTTCAATTCCGCGTCATCAAATTCTACAAAATATGTATATTATTATGTAGCTCGCCATGCACTCGTTTTTTGATATCACTCCAAGCACATTTCTCGTTATGCTTTGATCCATATCGTAGATCCAATTGCTTCAAATCTCTTTGTATGGTGTTAGAACTTAGAAGACGAAGATTGTCATTGTGAAATTAGGCCGTGTTACAATGACCTAATATAAAATAAAACCAACTATTGTATTTTTCTAATATTGCATTGCCTTGAACCATCAACATTAAAAAGTATAGTATAAATGATACATTAACGTCAAATCCCTTCATTTTGGGCTCGAATTCACGAGGTGTGCAAATTGAATTATTAACCCACAAATTTTTTTTACCTCGAATATCAACACCAGTTTGTCTATTCCAGACATTTATGGGCTAAACTACCAGATTCAGCTCATAAACGAGTTTGGGGGATTGATAAAGGATCTATATCGTGAAAGCCGGTCAAGTCATGGACTTGACAAGGTGACTGGGTTTGGGAGTAAAATGGTCGAAATGGAGTCGATTCGGTGGAATGAATTATTAAGAGGATTGTTATTTACCGCCCTAGATATTACTATTTGCCGCATGCAAAATTGACGAAAAAGTCAATTTTGCCCTTTTATTTTTGTTTCTAACAAATAATTTAGCAGAACATAATCCCAATCAGCACAAGGTGGAACATTTTTTTTTCCTAACAAAATTTTACGACCAAAAGACGAGTTTCCGGCGACCAGAGGAATGGTCCGACGATGGTAAGGTCTCTGAAGACGACGACGAAGATCGTACGCCTGCACATGGTCCGAATGCTGACATCAGCTCTGGCATCTCCGTCTAAACTGCAACGTGGGACCGCACATCCCTGTCCGAATGCCGAGGTCGGACCCCGTCCGATTGCCAACGTCGCACCCCGTCCGAATGCCGAGGTTGAATCCCGTCCGATTGCCAACGTCAGACCCGTCCGAATGCCAAATTTTCTAATCATTACTTAGTTGAATTAATTATTGGCCAAATACACTTGTATAGCCAAAACTTTGACGGTTTTGCCAAATATAGCCACTTTTGGAGAAATACCAATAATAGCCATATTTTTGAAATTTTGATGACAATAATAGCCATTTCTGTTACATAATTTAACGGCGTCAGTGACACCGTTAGTTAAATTAACGGAACGCTGACTTGGCTGCCAACTCACCCTCTATTTCATTTCCAACTCAGCACTCACACGACACGTCATTTACAAAAAAAAAAATCGCCCTATCCCTATTGACCTAATCTCTTCGAACCCTCTTCTTTCTCCTCCAGCAACCCCTCTTCTTCTCCATCAAAACCAGCAGCTGCCGCCGGTAAGTCCTCGCCACCGCTGCCAAGATCGATTGTTTCAGCTCCTGATTTTGCAGAGTTCTCTATCATTGCTGCCACCTTCAGCAGGCTTAGTTTCTCGTTGGAATTCACTTCACCTGCAAATCAGTGAGGCAAAAACACAAACAGTTGGCATGCATCAAACTCTACACAAAATTTTCGACCCCATAAAAAATGAAATCTGAAACCCAAGCTTCCCACAAGACGAGAAATCTGAAACCCAGTTTCCTTAGCAATTTTGGCAACTGGGTCGTCGAATCCGGCTGATTTCTCCACCTGGGAATCGCCAGAGACAAGCAAAGAAGCTCGCTGGATCAACCCACCGAGCATCTCGAACATCTCGTCGAGTTCCACCAACCGAGCCGCCTCTCTGCTATGCTCACGGCACTGGTGAACAGCCACTGTCCTCCTCACTTGCTGCAGCAGCGCGAAGAGCTCCTCTGGCACATCTGGCGGGCGCTGGTGTTTGGAGATTTCTTCTAGCTTCGCTTGCTCTTCGTTTTGGATGGACTTGACTACGGCGACGGCGGCCTCCACTTCGTCTATAGAAGGCCTCGACGGGAGGGATCTGTAGAGCCTCATGATTTTGGCGACGGTATCCACGAAGGCGGGCGACGGAGCTGCTGGCCCACCGCCATCGTTGGATTTCATGGCCATGGCTGCTGTCTGGGAGAAGAGTTGAGGATGTGATGTGCGGAGAGGTGACGGCGGCGTGGATTTGTGGAAGTTTGGTGGTGGCGGGGATTGGGGATTTGGTGGCACGAAATCGTCGCCTGCGAGGCCGGCGATTTCAGCGAGGGTAGGGGAGAAGCAGGGATTGGGTCTTGAATGGGGCGGCGGAGGAACTGAGTATCTAAGTGGAGCTAGGGATTTGAATGGGGCGGCGGAGGAACTGGTGAGGAAATCGAAGTGGACGGTGGATTTGGATTTGGAGAGGCAGAGCAAGGATTGGGTCTTGGAACCTCTGCTAAGGGTTGACGGGAGGAAGGTGGTGAATGGGGCAGATGGATTGAGAGCTCGCATGGTGGAGATTGGAGAAGAGGAAGCTTCTGGTAGGAAGTATTGATGAAGGTGAACAGGTGGTGGTGGGGAGAAAGAGATTTATTTTTGTTATTTTTTTAATTTAATTCGATTAAAAATATAAGTATAAAATTTTAATTATTTTCCATCTAACATTATTTTTTAATAAAATATGCCACGTCAACCACTGCTGTTAGTCCAGTCAGCACGTTAATTAACACCGTCAAACAATTGGACGGAATTGGCTATTTTTGGTATTTCGCCAAAAGTGGCTATATTTGGCAAAACCGTCAAAGTTTTTGCTATGCAAGTGTATTTGGCCTTAATTAATTACAAATTTGGAAAACATAACAATAAATGGAATTCATTGGGCCCATCGTAGAGTAGAGGATTGATTCAAAGACCCTCCTTTTCCGAGGCCCAATCTGTTTGCTCATAAGACTTTAAAAGATGTCTTCTCGCAATAGGATTTCGCCGATTCACCAACCGCCACAAAGGCTACCCGGGACGATGAGGAACGCCAAGGAGAGATCGCGAGCAGGGAGTCGATCCGGCCGTCCATGGGAAGATCTCTGTCCCGATCTGTGGAATTCGATCTGCGCAAAGCTCCCTTCCGTCATCTATCGAGCCGAATTCGGCTCCGTTTGCAAGAACTGGCGCCGAATTTACACCTCTACCGCCGACTACGCGGCGCCGCGGTCGACCCACAACGCCAACTTCACCATGTGCGCCTTCCGCAGGGGACCGACGATTACATCATACCCGCAGCGGCTGCGTCACCGCCTCCGCCAAGATTTCGCCGGCGCATCCGTCGTCGGGAGCGATGGGAGCGGCTGGTGGCTGATGAGCAATTCCGCGGGGGTAATCTTCTGCTGCTTCAATCCCCTGCTCCAATCCTCGGGAATGAAGAGCGTCATCGACCTGCCCAGAAAACCGAGAGAGACAATCCCTAAGCAAAGAGCGGCGTTCTCGGCTCCGCCGACGGATCCCAATTCGACGATACTCGTCGCCCACGGCGGCGGCAGATCCATTATTTTTAGCTGGCTGCGGCGCATCCATAGTTGGTGGACGGTTCGCTGGACCATTATCCAAGAACGGGGGATATGCGCGGGGATTGAATACAGGGAGGGCAAATTTTTCTGCCTGTTCGAGTCAGGGGATGTTTTTGTCTTCGAAATTTGGAAGGAAGGCGGCGCGTGGGAGTGGATCCGTACGATGAGATTAGCGCGTCCGCTGGCGCCGGGACAATTCGACAGGGTCGACTATCTGCGCCCGGGTGTGAAGACTGAATTCGGGTTTGAAGTGGTGAGTTGGGAGAGAGTGGAGAAAGGGCCCGGCGGGAGGTTCCGGTTGTTGACGGTGGAGAGAGAAAGACCGGCAAATGGAACCACTCGGAGCAAGACGACGCTGTGTGAAAGAGGGAAACACCTGGAGCAATCCGAGTTTCGCTCGTTAATAGTGGTGAATCCATGACCAAAATGCATCACCTAGCGAGTTTTTTTTTTTTTTTTTGTTTTCATATTTGAAATACATTCGTATAAGTTCTGTTAAGTTTAACTAATCGTTAATTACCTTGTTAACTAGACCAATGCAATGTATTAGCGTGACTATTTTGATCATTAACAAAGAGAAGGGAATTGTCAAATACTATTAAAAAAAGCAAAAGAAGAATCACACAATGATCCAATGATTTTATGTGATTTCCTCGAGATCCACCGCTCTCTCTTACTTTCATTGGATGCATATCACTCTATATATACCCATCTTGCTAGGGTAACGATCAAAACCTAAGATCGAAATACACAATGCTCACCACCAATTATAATATGTACAAACACATCGAATATATACCGATCCACCATCATTGTGGCCTCCGATAATCAACGAACGCGCCTTTCCGACAATAATGCAATTCTAGAGAATTGTAAGATGATATTATAAGAGGTTGTAATTGCAACTTTAAATGAAATAGATGTGTAGTGTTATTACAGTTGTGCTGATTTGAATAATGTGCAATTCTTGTTGCATTTATTATATAGTTAATAGTTTAAAATTATGGGAATGGTATATAGATAGTTTAGTTGCACTAAATTTATGTGTTGGTCCCACTAATTGAAATGGATGTATGTGGAATGAAATTGATAACTCGTATTTTCTTAAAGTTGTAGAGTAGAAGTAAGGACTATGTATGAAATTGCAAATAAATTTCATAATTAGAGATGCTCTGACTAATTTTCATCAACTCACATTTATAAGTGTTGAGTGTGCTTCTTTCAAGTAACTAAGAATTTATGTTGATTTCTATCTATAAGGTAAACTTAAGTTTATTTAAATTTTAAATCCAACCTAATGCACATTCTGAATTTGTTGTGTTAATAAGTTTCGATCTTTTTGCCGCGTCGAAAAGTTTAGGCCCGAAGACTCTCTTGCCGTAGGCCCAGTGGGCTTACCCATTTCGTTAACGAACTCGCCTTCGTTACCGGGGTCCGTAAACGAAACGAGGAATACAGTCTTCATCCAAGAGGAGGATTTCGGTGCCTTGGAAAGCGAAAAAAAATAGGGTTTTCGCCGGTTTCACGGCAATAGCCAGAGTATCTCTGGCGGCGACGATGAGCGGCGAGAACACGAACGACATGAAGAGATCACGAACAGGCCGCCCATGGGAAGATCTCTGTTCAGATCTCTTGAGCTCGATCTCCGCAAAGCTCCCTTCCACCGTCGATCGAGCCGAATTCGGCTCCGTCTGCAGGAACTGGCGCCGATTTTACTCCGCCACAGCCGACTACGCGGCGCCGCGGTCGTCCCACGACGCCGACTTCACCATCTGCAGCTTCCGCAGGGGCGCCACGGTGACATCATACCCGCAACAGCTGCCGTACCGGCTCCTTGGGGATTTCGCCGGCGCATCCGTCGTCGGGAGGAGCGGGAGCGGCTGGTGGCTGATGAGCAATTCCGCCGGCGAAATCTTCTGCTGCTTCAATCCCCTGCTCCAATCGCCAGGAATGGAGAGCGTCATCGAAGTGCCCAGATTTGGAATTGGTAATATGACAAACCCTAAGCCGAGAGCGGCGTTCTCGGCCCCACCGACGGATCCCAGTTCAACGATTCTCGTCGTCCACGGCGGCGATGGCAGCAGCGACAATCCCACCACTTTAACCACGCTCCTGCGCAATCAGCATCGGTGGGATACTCACGAGATCAGAATCTACCGAGGGCAGACCTGCGTGGCTATTGGGTACAGGGACGGCAGATTTTTCTGCCTGTTTGAGTCGCAGATGTTTTGATCTTCGAAATTGACAAGGAAACCGGCGGCATAGAGAGTAGGTGTCAGGTAAGCGTAACGATATTGCTGGCTGTGCGTCCTCTGGCGCCGGGACGATTCCCCATGATCAACTATCTGCGCGCAGCGGCGAAGCTCGCTGAGGATTCGGAATTTCAAGTGGTGGTGAGTTGGGAGAGAGTTAAGAAAGGACCCGACGGCGGCTTCCGGCTGTTGACGGCGGGGATAGAAAGATCGGCCAAGGAGGAATCGGGGAATTGGTACTTGGACGATACGTCGTCCGAAAGAGCGGCCAACTGGAGTTGTGTGAGCTTGGTCCGCGGCGATTTTCATACCACTCTACTTGTTAGGTCCTCGTTCTTACTGGTGAATCCAATCAATTCATGATGCATCATCGTTTTTATCGATCGTTTTTTTTTTTCAGAGATTTGTTTCTTATAAATAATTTGTTTGATTCGAGTTTACTTTTTTAGGATACAAAACCACATAGTTGACTTTCGATTATATTGACCCACCAAACTCCAACGACTTTATACGAACTCTGTATCAGTAAAGTCGTCGTCTGCGATTTGAGATTTCTCCAATTATGGCGAGCGAGAAGGAGAGGTCGGGAGGAGAGACGGAAACGCGCCGTCCATGGGAAGATCTCTGTCCAGAGCTCCTGAATTTGATCTACGTTAAGCTCCCTTCCCACGTCGAACGCACCGAGTTCGGCTCCGTCTGCAAGAACTGGCGCCGGACCTACTCCTCCGCCGCAGATTACGCTCAGCCCCGGTCGTCCCACAACGCCGACTTCACCATCTGCACGTTCCGCAGCGGCGGCACGACGATGATAACGTCACGCCCACAGCAAATCCCGGCCCATCTCCGCGGCGATTTCGCCGGCGCATCCGTCGTCGGCAGGGACGAGATCGGCGGCTGGTGGCTGATGAGCAATTCCGCCGGCGAGATCTTCTGCTGCTTCAATCCCCTTCTCGAGCCGCCCAACGTCATCGAGCTGCCCAGAAATAAGAAGAAGAAGAGGCCGAGGCCGACAAAAGCCAGGACAAGAGCGGCGTTCTCCGCCCCTCCGACGGATCCCGATTCGATGGTCCTGGTGGTCCACGGCGGCGGCGGGGGTTGTCACACCAGTTTCAGCACGCTCCTCCGCCGTGAGGGTTGGTGGACGAATTACGAAATCGGGTTCGGGGAAGGGAGGATCTGCGCGGGGATTGGGTGCAAGGGTGGGAAATTTTGGTGTTTGTTCGATACAGGGGAAGTTTTGATCTTCGAAATTGACGGCCGCGACGATGGAGTGTGGTGGAGGAGGACGGTGATTATGATGGGAGCGGCGCGGCCGCTCACGGCGGAGCGATTCCGTGGGATCAATTACCTGTGTACGGCGGTGAAATTGGACGGAGGAGGAGAGGGGGAGGGGGGATTTGAAGTGCTGAGTTGGGAGCGAGTTCAGAGAGGGCTCAGCGAGAGCTTCTGGTTGGTCGCGGTGGAGAGAGAAACAACGGTGGCAGCTGCGGCCGCAGAGGAATTGGAGGTTGCGCCGGTGTTGTTGGAGGAAGGGGCCGGTTCGAGGAGAGTGGTTTTGGTGCTGGACCAGCTGGGGATGATGTGGAAGTTGAGAATACTTCAGGCAGCTGTCGATTGGGTTGTAAATCTGTAGATGATAGAGATATCAATTTCGATGTAGATTCGTTTCTTCTATTTTTATCGGTATGAATTGTTTTCGGTTTGTCTTTTTATTTTTTATTTTTATGTCAAACTGTATTGAGCTTTATTAATCAGAAACTGCTGTTACATCGTCCAGCCGTAGCTGATCAATCACAATTATCGATGGCCTATCTAGTCATACTACTGGTAAGTTCCAGTTCGTATTACATTTGGTCATTAGATGCGCCGCTTCATTCGCTGTCCTTTTAACAAAGCGGATCACCTCTTCTAATCTCATCCCAAGGACCCTCTATACTCATACATATTGTACCCAACTCGGTGATAATGACTTCTTGACCACAAAGTTTCCGAACCGCTGAAAGACAGTCTGTTTCGATTTGGAAGCTTTGGATTTGGAGGTTTCCCGCCATATGAATGCCGAACTCGATGGCCAGGGCCTCCGCTACTTCTGGCTCCCAGGCCCCTTGAATCCTATTGTCTAGTTCCTCTACATTTAGTTATTTACACAAATTACTCATGCTACTTTTTTTTATAATGAAATTACTTGTACTATTTGAGCGACATTTACACAAATGAGTAAATTACTCGTACTACTTGAACTCTAGTGCAACCATCACAAGAGTGCTTCCATCTTTCGAACATGTTATGCTTCATTTTCAGTTCGGTATGACTTTGAATTCATAGATTATATGTGTTTCATATAGAAAATATTCATTGCTTATTTTTCCACTTACGAGTGGTATGGAATGTACGAAATTATTTTATGACTTAAAAATTACGATTGACTTATCCGGTTTAATAATTTTTCTCTATAATTTCTTTTAGACACGTAGCTAAATAAGGGCTTGTTTGCTTGATGGATAAAATGAAGGTTTTGGGTCCCAAAACCAATTCCTCATGGACTTGGCAAATAATCCATTGTTTGCTTGTGTCATTTGGGGAGATGGACTATGTGGGGCCCACGGACTTTTGGGGTCCAAATCCGTGGGCCCCATGGACTTCCAAAAACCAGCTCCATAGGTGGGAATTTGTTAAGGCTTTGAAGTCCATGATAGTTTTTTACTTTCTTATCCCCACATAAATCGTTATTGCCAAGTTTAACCTCGTTCAGTTTTCTTCTTCCCAACAAAACGAGCGACAAAAAGGGAGTGGCTGGGCAGTGTGAGAAAGAGTGAAAGACGGAGAACGAGTCTCAGCTCCACGAATCGAGAAGGTTTGGGGTTTGGAGAAAGACTACGGCATCAAAACACCAACAAATAATTCTCCATCCTCGATCGATTACTTCGCCGCTGCAACCCAGGTTTGTAATTGCCATATTTTTTTGGCCCTCTATTTTCTATGTCGAACCCTAGAATGCGAATGATTGATTCTTCTCGCTTTGTTCGTGGATGTAACCTGAGGTGAGATTGATTGGCTGTTCTTCGGGAATGGATTGATTCTTCTCGCTCTCCCATTTGTTATTGGTTGTGTTTCCTTAATCGAGGTTCGAAGGTGGGTGGGATTCGGGAATGCTAATCATAATGCAGAACTCCCGAGTCTTGTCCAATTGCTGAAGGAACAATTTCTCTACTGTTTATTTTGGCTTTCCAGCTCTAGTTTATGGATCAATTCCCTTTTTTTTTTTGTAAGAATCGATTCCCTTTTCTAGCTTTGTGGAGAAAGAACTGAAAGTTTGGAGTCGGGCTGTTAGTCTCTATGAAGTGTGGTGCTTGATCTTGGACTGAATTTGGTTGGGAATCCTGTTGATGATGGATATGGGATCCTTTGCAATTGGTTTCCTTATTTTATTGACCATAGATTTCACAATTAGATCTTGGTCCTGTTGAAGGAAAAAATAGGAAAGAAGGTTGCTATACAAAATGAGAACGAAAGTTTGGAAGCAGGCTGTTAGCTCCTTGTGAAGTGTGGTGCTTGATCTAGGGCTAAATTTGGTTCCGAATCCTGTTGATTAAATGATTTATTACGTCGGGTGATTAGTTGATGTTGGATATGGTATCCTCTCTAATTGTTTTCCTGATTATATTTAACATAGACTTCACAGTTAGATATTATGTCATTATATTATGACTTTGAATGATGTAATAATGAATTTGACGCAAACCAAGAACTGAAAACGGCAGGATTTAGCCGGTTCGCTTTGCAACAACACTCCAGAATCAATCCACGAACATGTATTTTGTTTATATGAAGACTGTTCATGTTGTAGTCTAACTGAATGAAGGGTGCTGCTTTCAATGGATGTTATGTATAAATGGTATCAAATGCTTGTATTCGAACTGAATGAAGGGTGCTGTTATTTTGTTATTTATGTTAATCATGTTGTATTCTAACTAAATGAAGACTATTTATAAGTGGCTACTGTAAATGGCTTCTTTGTTTGTAGGATGGCAAGAAAAAGAAAGCAAGTCATCAACGAAGGGGAAGTAGCCGAGCCTGCTGGTGGTTACTTCTCGTGGGACGAGAAGCTCAATGCTCTGCTCATACAATGCATGGTGGAGTTAGCTCAGAGGCATCAGGTGGAGAACGGATCTTTCAAGAATGGGACTTTTTCTGAGCTTCAGTACATGATGGAGGAGAGGGCTCCTGGTTGCGGTGTCAGAGTTGAACCACACATTCGTAGTAGGCACAAGTTGCTCAAGAAGGACTTCCATGCTGTGCACTTGCTGCGTAATCAAAGCGGATGTGGTTGGGATGAAGTAACAAAGACACCTACACTGGATGATGATGTCTTTGAGAATATCGTGAAGGTAATTTGTCACTTTAACCCAAATTGCATCAAATATCAGTGACCATAATATTTTAACATTCCTTACCCATCTGTTTGTAGGTGTTTCCAAACTGCAAAAAATTTAACAGGAAGCCTTTCCCATTTTATGATGAACTACTGAAAGTGTTTGGGAAAGTTGGTCCTGCAAATGGAAGGAAAACAGTGGGTATAACTGATGATGTGAGCTCCCCCGCCATAGATGGTCCGACATTTGTTGATTTGGATGTAACTCAGACACCACACGTTGTAGAGGGACATAGTGCTGAGAGATTTATGGAAGATTTGATCAACGAAGGGGTTGAGATGTCCCAGAGGGCAGCTGCAACTACTTCGATGCATAAAGCGGTTCCTCCAGCAGCAGGGGCCTGTGACGGCATCAGGAAGAGGGCCAAGAAAACAGAGAATAAGACGGACGATGCAATTGCAGCTGTAGCCGATGAACTCGGTGGGTTGAAGCCTGTCATATCCAAGGCACTTGATGCTCTTGGAACCATCTTAGAAGACCGTGAAGAAGAGACTGGAAAGGAAGCTGCATTGATGGCGGAAATAGGGAAAATTGAAGGTTTAGAACACTGCCAAGTTCTCGATGCTGCTATGGTCTTGGTGGAGAATGATCGTAAGATAAGGCTTTTCTATGCATTGGAAAATGAGGAGGATCGGAAGTACTTTATTCAGAACTTGTTGCGTTGAGAAGTTATGATCATGTAGTAGTTGTGTATGTAGGGCTGTGAATGTGACCGTAGAAGCTGTATATGTGAATGTAGTGGTGTGCCTAGGTATGTAGGGATATAATTTTGTTAGAACACATGTAGTATGGATGGGAAACTCGCCTCTCTTATGCAAAGCTAACAGGTAGTAGTTAGTATGCATAGGTTATAGGAAGAGGTTAAGGTATTTTGCTTTTGAAAGTTCCCCATCCATTCAAACTATGTGTATGCAAACTGACTTTGTAGTATGACTCGGAATGCTTTGATATATAATTACATAGCTACTTATGCGGCATATGTTATGGTTTATATGATGTTTGTATTTGATGAGTTGAACTGCAAGCTTCTCTTCTTCTCATAATAAAAAAACTATCAATCTTACATAACCTTCTCCGGTGGAAACGTGTCTGTAGCTTTGTAAATTGATATATGAAAGATACTTTAATAAATAATTAAGAACGAAGGGCAATAAGGTCATTTCCAACCGTACCTACAATTCTAATTATAGCAATATCCATCATCAATTCCATCAAACAAACAATGGTTTTGTAAAAGTCCATAATGAACTCAAAACCTTCATAATTCCATGGTTTTTGAAAACCCAGGTTTTATCAAAACCTTCATTTTTCAAATCCACGATGCAAACGAGCCCTAAGTCAACTTGCCCCAAAACATCGTTACAAATCAATTACGGGCCCGTTTACAGTTTAGGCCCATTCCCCGTATCCAATTATGTTATAGCGTCATGTTTGAAATGGTAATGAGTGTCCTTAAATTTTTTTTTTTATGAATAATAGAATAAGTGGTTTTCATTTCATCAAAATACGATCAGTACAGCTCAATTCATCAATACAACTTGGTACAAACTAAAGATCAACCTTCAGCAAGACGCAATCTACACTCGAATTGGATTGATCAATGAATGACAATTTAATAATATTATGTTTTAATTTAGAATGATAACAGTAAAATTAGGATGTCTACTTACGTTTTGAAATTAAATAATTGAAAATTAGACACTCTAACCCTTTTGCTCCCGCTCACACTCTATCTCCGATTGAAAATCAAGTAATTAGAAATTAAGACAAACTTCCATTAAAGAATAAAAAAAAGAACTCAAATCATCGATCCATTTACGTTATACATATATGTATAGCCTCTACATATAGAGAGGACGAAACGATCCAAAGGATAAAAAGAAAAAAGTTGCATTTCGCGACACTGCTTAACTCTTGAAATGCATAATCAAAACTTAAATACGTAGTGGTGATAAAACGTAACTCAAAAAATGGGATTATTGTATAGTATATCTTGAGAGTTGGCCAAACAAGGAACCAACTTAAAGAGCATGTCCTCCTTTGCCTCTTCTTGCTCATCGTCCAAGCGTCTGCATAATGTACTCAGCATAAAGATCCCTGCATTAAAAGATCGTAAAATGAAAAGAAAAAAAAAGTCAAAACCCTTTTTGCAAAGGAATTAAGGTTGTATAGAAGAGGGAAATTAGCTTTATAATTTAAGATAATCAAGAACTTTACATAGAGTACTGGATGGCTTCAGTAGCAGAGTCCGAAGGCAAGAACTCATTTACTGCAACTTCCTTGTTCTCATTCTTCTTATCTGCAAAAGACATTGTTAAGAAAGAGACTAATATTATTAGTCACCCTATTTAGTTCCGTCATTAAATGGTTACGATTAGAGAGAGAGGACATACAATCTTCAAAGAAACGACGGATCTCCATAAGACGGTGAGGAGGCAACTGTTTAATGTCATTGTAATACTTATATTCAGGATCGTCAACACAAACTGCAATGATCTTGTCATCTTTCTCACCCTGACTCACAAAAAAAAAAAAAAAATGAATGAACCCTAATTGTAAACTCTTGGGTCACAAATGCTAAGGAAATCACATGGCTACTAATATTAGAGATGAAGCATATACATTACCTGATCAATCATGGGCATAAGTCCAATGGCCCTGGCTCTTAAAAAGCAGCCTGGGAGAACAGGCTCCTGTCAAATGGAAAAGAAAATTAGAAAGATTTGAGTTGGAGATGAATATCAGATAGACAAAAAGAAGAAATTAAACCTATACCTGCATGAGAACCAAAACATCCAAAGGATCATTGTCTTCGCATAATGTTCGAGGAATGAATCCATAGTTGTGAGGATAAACCACGGACGAGTACAAAATACGATCAACCTGAATCGGTTCATGGTTGTAGATCAGGAGGAAATCTCAAACAATGTGGATGAGTATTTTTTAGGGAACATTGTGTGACTCAAAACTATGGTATTTATTACCTTAATCATTCCCGTCTTCTTGTCCAATTCGTATTTGACCTTGCTTCCCTTAGTGATCTCAACGACCTGCATGAATCCATAACCATGATTGAGGACGAGTAACGCGATTTATCCCGCGAACCATAGAATCCGAAAAGAAAACATACCACGTTGAAAACCTTGGGCGCTTCAGGGCCTGTAGATGCGAACACCACCATTTATAATTTCATTGATAAAGACTCAACAAGAAAAAAACTAATTTTTTTTCTTCAAAATAACCCTTTCTATGATGACTGAACAAATTCCAGATAACACTATTCGTGCTTTATTTGTAAACAATGCGAGTAGCGTTACCGATCTCTAGATCATGCCACGGGTGAGCAGCAACGGTTCTCTTGGACAACGATGAAAGGATCCTCTCGTTCAATTTTGGGGTACGCTTTTCGCCATCGTTTCCATTGTTATCGTTGGTACTCATCTGCATAAAAAACGAACCATGCATAACATAAAACATTTGAAATCTCACGTCCCTATGAATGCCGAAGATCATATTCCGAGCAACACATGGAACTATCCAGATTGTGAATTTTCGAAATTCTCCATCACATGAAAATGAAAAGAGATGTTTTACACATAGACCATGCGGCCCACGAAAAGAAAACTGGACTTAGAGAGGGAATGGATGGCAACCTTCTTTTGCTCTTCTTTTGTTTTCAAACCTTATTTTTGCACCAGTTTTCGTGTTGAAGTGGCCTTGATTGGTTTGAGTGATATGTTTCCGTACCCTCAACCGTATATATATTTGAAGGAAAGGGGCTGGAATGTGTTGATAAAAATGGGCGAAAAAGAGAAGAATGTTTCATAGACTGCCTCGTGTTTGGACGCGATGAGATGGTAGATTTCTGCTGCGGATGACCCTCCACTTTTCTTGTTCAAAGCTTTGTTATTGGTGTTTACTATTATGTTTTCTTCTTCCTCTAGCTAACACGTTATTATGGTACATTATTATGTCTTGTCCTCAACAGTTAGTATAATTAAGCCTACTTATTATAATGGTTGGATTCTTGTTGTTTATGCTAACAGTCGACTGTGACATTTAATTGGATTAGTTTATGCAATAAATATAAATTTATGGTACATCAAAAGCTCCTGGTCTGGCAGTTGAGAGTTGAGACGAGAGGTACAAGTTCTAAACAAAGAGCCCACCTCATGCAACCCATAAATTGGGCCTGTAGGCCCAACATGGAGCTATCCACGCCATTTGATTTAGAAACCAAAAAGACTACACATATATACGGCGCCTCCGACCTTGTCGACTTCAGATGAGTGAAGAGAAATAAAAATAGGCGTCGAGAATAGCAAATGACATCATGTGCCACTCAGGGTCTGCAACAATACTACGTACGTTGTCGTGACACCAAATAGGGAAGTACGAAGCAATAAATACGGTGAAGGCGATCGATGAATCTATCAGGGGCAGCGTTGGAGACAATATGACTTTAGATAATAGAAAGAAGATGACTTCATTTAAGACGATTGGTTTGACTCTCTAGCTCACAACATACTTATCTCGATCTTACTACTTCAAGACATGAGAGTCATAAAGAGAAAGTTAACTTATTATGTGTAACACATGATCAAATTAATTAAAGTTTCCTTGTAAACCCAGTAGCAACTATACAAAGTCTAAAGTACGCTTCCAAAAAAAAAAAAAAAAAATACTAGTCTAAAGTTTGTAGCCGATTCCTCAATTTGCACACCGGATAGTATTTAACAAAATGGCCAGCGCCGGGAAACATGGCATTGAATTCCAGATTTGATTGTCCGGTTGATGGAAGACCAAACAGTGTGTGGACACTGGAATTCACATTCCATCACTAAGTAACAAAGTGGCCATTTTGTGCCAGTCCTGAATTCCGAGTCACTGAAAGTGTCCCACAAATATGAACAAAACTACAGTATGTGTTTAAAAAAAAAAAAAAACAAAAGCAAGGTTTACCGATGTATGGTCTCCACTAAACGGTAAATATCACACTACGATTATTAGTTGTTTAATATAGTGTTAGTTCGATAAAGTCACATTAACAAATAGCTTCACCATGTCATCAAAACGACCATGTCAAACACCCACTCATCACCAAATCCTTTTCGAACTATACCCTCAATAGCAAACTCACAAAATTGGTCCCCTTAACTCATGAGTAAACATACTGAAATACAATTTACGGAGCGTAAAAATTTGTATCACACCAGATTATTCAATCTGTTATGAAATTGGTAAAAAAAAAAAAAAGGTTGGATACATTGGTATGTTGAGGATCTGATTGTATAGCATTGCAAACGCCCTTACACTATGAGTTTATTTAAACGTAAATACTTTTTTGAACTAATATAAAATTACATATAATAAGATGAAGTATGGCATGGAGTACATTGTATGTTCCCACACCTCAAATACCTTAAATTGTATTGTTTTTTGTTGATAAGGGTGATACAAATTAGTTGTTATTTAAAAGATTCGAACTGATCAGTATTTTGTTAGGAGGTTTTGAGTCGTCAATCACGCATCCCATATCACCTAACCCCCACAATGTTCCCATAGTTTGAAGTTGGATTTCAATGCGATACCATTATGGACAGTAAAACAGACAACAAATTTTCTTGAACCAAAATGGTCTAATTTCATTAATAGTCAAGAAGAAGAAGGGCTAGGCAAGCAGCCAGTAGCCGCAAGCCCTTGCCTCTCAAATTTCAAGCTCAAGGCTTGCGCCTTGCTAGTATACAACTGCTTTACATTCCCTCTCTGCTCATTCAACAACTTCACCAAACTCCTCTTCGCATTCGCCCTAAACGGACAGTTGGACGCCAAAAACCCGTCCACCAAGTGCAAGTACGCCTCCAGGTCATGGCAGCACGCCACGTCGGCGTTCGGCTTCAGGTAGGGGGACATCCGCGTGTCTACACGTAGCTCCGTGCCCACGTGGCTGTACGCCAATGGGTGGTTGTCATCGTCCAACTCATCCACCATCGGCAGCCCGGGCACTTTGGTAATTACGTCCTGGTTGTTCACGATCCTTAGCACCTTCACGCTCTTCCCCGTCAGCCGCTTGCCGAAGGCCCGATTCCCGACGCGGGGGCTCCCGAAGGAGAAAACCGCCACCGGCGGCACGTCGGGGGAGCAGGTGCTCAGCTCGTCGGCGACGAGGAGGGACAGAGCGGCGCCGAGGCTGTGGCCGGTGACCGTGATGCTAAGCGTCTCGCCTTTGTACTGCTCCATCAAGCGTTTGATTTCCTGGACCACGGATTGGGCCAGGCTGGCGACGTGGGCTCCTTCGGTTTTGTACAGGCTTTGGAACCCGCACTCGACTTTAGGCTGGGTTTGGGTTTGGGCTTGGGGAGATGATGATTCTTCGTCTTCCATTGGGACCAATCCGGCCCGCATGTTTTCGGCCCATTCTAAGCAGGTCGAAGTGCCACGTAAGGCGATCACGATGTCCCTGCGGCCCATGCGCTGGATCTCCCTACGGTCGTCGCAAACCGCGACGTACCCGACCCAGCTGGTTCGCTGGGTCATCCACCCGAGATCCGGGGCCACCTCGTCGACCCACTTGGGCAGCCCGACCGATGACGTGGCGTAGAGCGACTTGGTGACCTTGTACGACCTATCAGGGAGCGCCACGCGGACGGGGAGCGGGGCCTCGTCGGCCTCCGTCGCGGGATCTGAGTTGAAGGCGTGGTACGCCGCCTGGACGAACTCGCCGTACCGGACCACCTCCCGCCGGAGATTCTCGTCGAGAGGGTCGAGCATCCCCTTCCAGTCGTTGCCGCCGTGGTAATCCCTCCATCGGCAGGCCAGGCTGTTGCGGGGGGAGTACTCCGCCGTCATCGAGAGGAGGCGGTGCAGCCTGTTCAGGTGCCTCGGCGACATCTCCTCCGCCGCCGCCTTCATCTCCGGCCAGATCCGTGCCAGATTTAGCCCCTCTAGAAAATTCCTCCCCCGACTCGCCAAACCCGACGGCGCCGCTCCATTATCCGGTCTCGGAACTTTGGGAATCGAATCGAGGCGGTTGGATCTGGAATTCGGCCCTTCCTTCTGGAGAAGCTTGTCGAGGTTGGCGAGGTGCCTCTTGGTGCAATCGGGGGCGGAGATTGTCGCCGGAGAAGAGGCGGAAGAAGAAATTACAGTTGAAGGATTGAGGGGGGATTGGTTGTACTTGAAGCTGCCGGCGCGCCTCGCCTGAAAAAGGTGGACCTGGTGCGCCGGGAGAGTGTTTGCGATTCCGATCTGCATCTTCTGGTCAGGAATTTTTTTTTTCCCGGTGGCCGGAGAAGAAAGGAAAGAGTCTGAGTTAATTAAGTTTTGTTAAAAGCTTTGGGAGAAAGCTTGTTGTTAAAAAAATGAGAGAGCGAAGCGAAGTGAGGAGGAAATGGAAGGGGATGGAGGTTTATATAGTTCCGGAATTTACTGCGGGGTAAAATTGGTTGGTGGGACTTTGGGAGGGTGAATGGTTTTTTAATTTTTACTGTGGGGGGGCGGAGCCGTGTGAGGCGTGTCCGGAAGTCAACTCGTTGTGGTTACGTCAGCATCGTTAGCAAACGGGAAAAGTGAAAAAATGAGACGGAAAAGGATGCTAATTTTTTTTTCTCTCTCGTTGAATTAAGTATATAATAATTGTTTTTTTTAAGAAAAATAAAAAAATGGACTTTCTTTATTTCAATAAAAGTCTGCGAGGTGCAGACTGCAGAGGGAAGGACAAGTGTAGGCGGGAAAAGGGGAACGCGGGCAACGCAACGCAACGCTGTTACTTTTTTCTTTTTTCGCTTGGTGCAATCAGAGGCCCTACCCACCAAGTTCCCTTTTTAGTTCCCTTTTTCTTCAAAAAAAAAAAAAAAATCCGCCAATTTAATTTCATTGACATACTGTACATCGGATCTATGTTTTGGGTTTAATGTAGAACGTAGAGAGTTAAAAGGTTTAATTATGAGGTTTTTATAATTTCAAATGGCTGTGAATAGGGGTGATAATCAGTTGCCGGTTATCCGGCTTAACCGAACAACCGAACCGAACCATCGGTTTATAACTGAAATCGATAATCGATAAGCTGTTGTCGGTCTCGGTTGCGGTTGATTGATTTTGGCCTTTACGCTAGCCGGAAACCGTCGGTTACAAACCGAAATACTTTCGGTGCACCGCTATAACCGGCAATTCCTCTCCCCCCCCTCTTCTGCATCGCCAATTCGGCTTCCACTCCAGACCTCTCCCTCTCTTCCTTCTCCAAACATGTCCCTCTCCCTTCCTCTACTTTGCCATACCCAGCTCTTTCCTTCCCCAGACCTCTCCCTCTCCCTTCCTTCTCGAAACATCTCCCTCTCCCGTCCTCTACCTCGCCATCCCCGACTCCTTCCTTCCTCTAACTCGTCGCCCCCTTCGCTCCGCCTCCCAATCCAGAGGTCGATTTCGAAACGACGATGGTCGTTGCTCCACCTTCGCCTTGCATGTTTCGAGCGACAACGGATTCAGATCCACGCCTCTGCCGCCGATCAAGAACTCCGACCATGTATGCTCGTCGTCGCTCCTCCTCTGCCTTCGATGACGGATTTAGATCCAAATCCTCCTCTCGACGCTCTCTCCTCTTCCTCCCTCATCTACCTCGATTCACGGACTCAGATTCGAATTTGACACCCACATATGCTCGTCGTCGCTCCTCATCTGTCTCCGACGGGTCTCTCTTCTTCCTCTGCCGATGGTTCAAAATTGGGATTTTTCGGTGACATGCATAGCGATGGTGGTGGTCGGAGGTGGTGTGCGTCGGTCTCTGAATAACCGTCGTTTGAAACCGAAATCGACGGTTGCGGTTATCGGCTAACCGATGGTGCCGTCGGTCGCGGTTGCGGTTGCCGGTGTTGCCTCTTTCTCGGTGTCGCCTAACCGACTTTGCGGTTCGATTAAAACCGAAACCGCACCGCTAACAGGCCTAGCTGTGAATGATGTAATTATACTTAATTATTTAAAATAATTTCTATACAATCGCCTCTCCATTAGTTTGACATGTGAAAGTTTATAAGTCTCTTTTATAAAGAAGTTTTGTATTCGAGTTGGTTTGAATCAATTTATTAAGTTATAAAACATACACATATGACATCTCCATAATATTCTTTTTTCGTGTAAAAATGGTCGTTGATCATAAAATTCAAATCTAGAGTGTGATTGATGTATTATGATTTCCGCATTATCAAAATTCAAAAGGATCATGCCTTAAAATTATATCAGAATTCTAATAAATATTTATGGTAAAAAAAGCTATGAAATGTGTGTACTTTTAAATGTTGTCATAGAGTTTTGAAGAGAACATAATTTTAACTTGTAGCTAGTACTTCTTGATTGAATTCACACGTGAAATGAATTCAAAGTGGTTTAAAGGGTTAACTGGTTAAGAATTGAGTTAGTTATATTAAAAGAGTTGGAATATAATATATACACAGCACTTTTTCATCCTTTGCCTTACAGGAGAGCCCTTGTTGATCGATGACAGAATTTCTCCTAACAAAATTCGGAGACTTTTCAATTTTCGTCATCATTTGACTCGCGAATATATGTGACCTGGGCATAGTGTATGTATGTCGGAACATGTTTGTTGTGAACTTGGAAGCTGAAACCCAACAGATAATATGAAAGCAAATTAACTTGGTAGTGGTAGTTCACATAGTTTCACTTTAACCTAATATTAATTAACGATAACCGTTTTGATATGACTCCCTAAATTTTATTTGTTTCTCAGAACGAGTTATCTATCTTTTGATCAGTAAAAAGGGATATGATATAATATGATCAGTCCTCCTTCTACCTAACCCTTCTTTGTTTAGCATCATTCTCGACCCGTTTTCATATAAGTTCTATCTAATCTCTACAAGACTACAACTATTGTTCCTGTTCTAACTTATGTTATACAATGATGATACAACTCTACTTATGATAGCCTTTATTAAGTCGTACAATCCATTATTAACGCTATCCTCTCCATTTCAACGTGGGGAAAAAATTGATTCTTGATTCTTTCAAGGTTAATAAATTAACGCGTTTCATGTTTGTACTTTGACAGATGTGCATTCGAATAGATAGACCCTTCTGTAACCCAGTTCTCATAACCAACTGCAATACAATCTTATTCGTTACTAATTAATATGAAAATGACATTATCAGTAATGAGAATAAGAGATGCCTACTTCGAACTCGACTCTTCCCGTCTCCCACTGGATGACACAAATTACTTTTAGTGATATATAAATATACCGAACAAGGAAATAACTCTCAAATAATTTAGTTTAATGAGCACTGGGGTCAAAGCCCGAAACAACTTTTAATTTAATTTTGCAGTAGAGCCGAAATCCGACCCGATCCAATATAATTAAAGAAAGGGCACAGTATCCATAATTTTGACAAGAAAGAACCCCACCCAAAGGCTCAAGATAGGGTGCATAACCCATGGTTATGCACCCATCAATAACCAAATCTGGACCCTTCATTTAGAAAATCCAGATCTAGGATGGAGAATTAAAGGCTATTTTTATTTTCACTAGTTTTCTTAATTGACCCATATCTTTTTCGTTTTAACTCGGATTTTAATTTTTTTTGCACAGATGGAACGAGTTCATCGTGTTCTACAAAATGAGATCAATTTTCAATATTTTTTGAGGAAAAAAAATTCTGGCCTCTCGGTACCAACTGCATACCATATGGTATTTTCTTCGTTTTTCATTCGTTTTTGAAAACGTTTGCACAGCAGGGACGAGTTCATCATGATCTATTGGATCTACAAATTTCTGGGTGAACAAATTACAAGACCAAAAAATACCACACAATACCATACAATACCACCCTGGTACGGGGTGGTATTTTATGGTATTTTATGATATACAATGTTAAAAGTCGTAAATGACAATTAATATACTTCTACTATCATGTATTCAATCATCCTACAGTCTTGGTTTGTTCATACCACCATGGTACGCTTTTGAACCCATAGGTATGCTCTTATTTCAATACCAGTCAATACCATATGGTATAGACTGGTAAAAAATGGCTCAATTTTTTTTGTTCGAAAAATATATAAAAGTGGATATCATTTTGAAGAGCACAATTAATCTGATCTAACTGTGCAATAAAAATTAAATTTCGACTTAAAACGAGTGAGAAATCGTCCGTCAAAGATTAAGGAGGGGAAAATTAAAGGCTTTCCAGGAGAGAGGATGCTGATGTCATGCTGATGTGGGCGGGTTACTCATAGTTACTCACCATAAAGTTACTAACCTGATCTATTCCCCACCCAAAGGACTTCCCATTTCAATCAGTAATTACAGATCCGGTTACTACACTAATTAAGCTCCCACCGTCCATTACCGTTACCGGCCAACTATAGTTTCCTCATTTGTGTACTGCGGCGTACGGTGGGGCCACGGTGGTCGTCTACTTTCGGGAACTCCCATAATACGTACAAAATACGCGTACATTGTGCGCCGCTAGCTAGACATGTGTTGTGTATGCAACTATTCTATGCATATTAGTTATATATATATATGTGGAGTGTGTGGGTTTTGACTTTTTGGTTAGGTTATTATGACCTGAATCACTTATTCATGAATACAAATAAAATTTGTTGTTTAGGATCGTGCAGGGTTGGCCGTTTGGTTATTTCGGTTATAACCGATAATCGAGCGGTCGGTTATCGGTTAATCAAAATAACCACTCCCCCTACCGAAAACAGCCCGAAATAGGTTTCGATTTCTCGGTTATTGGTTAACCGAACCACTTTTAAGACCAAAAACCATTTCGTCTAGCCTCCAATAACTGACCGAAGTTCGGTTACCGGTTAGTGGATTACCGGTTGGTTAACCGATAACCGGTAACCGAACTGCCACCCCTAGGATCGTGTCGCCACATCACTATAATCGATTTAATTTGTTTATATATATATATATATATATATATATATATGATTTGTTAAAGACATATATTTAGTGTCATATTGTCAGTTAGGTTGAGTTAATCAAGACTCGCTTTCGAAATCTCTGTGTTCACGGACCTCACATGAAAAATCAGGGACAATTCTGCTCGATCTGGGGTGGTACACATAATAATATGCACAAGCAACTAATTAATTAACGTGTGTAAACCCCTGAAACAAAAAAAACCATACTAAACTGCACGAAGTTTCTTTTCCGTCGTATGAATTCAAGTCGATGAGAGACATTGATAATTAGTGGAATTCATAATGGATAATCTTGATACATTCAAACTAGCTAGTACGTGTCTAGTTTTTTCCAAATCATGAATTCAACTCAAGTATAATATCATTCGCCTCATGTGCTGTCAAAAGACCAAGCCAAGATAATTTTTTTATTTATAATGCAAAAAAAAGAGACCAAGAAATGTTTGATCATCTCAAACGTACGATGCTATATGAACTAAGAATTTGAAATCACCAAGACTCCTACCTTGAGGGGTAAGAAATGTACGACAGTACGAGGGTTGACAACTCACTACAAAATTAAGAAGCTTAGGGAACAAATATAAGGGACAACTAACTAACTAACTAGTCTCCGGAAATGAAATATATAGTGGCATAGAGGACAATTTTTTGGAATCGTCCCAAGATATGCACGGAAGCAAAAATAAATATTAGTGGGCTTCTTTTAGTCGTCCCGCATCCAAGGCGAGATAAATTCGCCGCTTGATATTGATTTTTTTTTCAATTTTTGGAAGTTCTATAGCTATTAAATTAAATTGAGAGAAGAGGCTTGCCTAGGGTTTATTCTTGTTTTTCTCTTCATCATCGTCTCCTAAAGATAAAATAGTAGCGGCGGCAAAGCAAAGGAAGCGAACTGGTGCTTCTCTCGATTCCCTCCATTCTTTTACCTTCTTTCGTTATCTCTCCGTCCGACTATCTTCTCTCCTATGCTCATTTTCCCCCCATCTAATTACAGGGAATCGATCCGGGAAAACCACATATGGGCGAGCACAATGATGTGGTCAAGAAAATGCGACTCGGAGTTAGGGTTCTCGCAACTCTTCATGCTGACAATATATATTCGGCGAGAACGGCACAATTCACATGTGAGAATACCATGTCTTGCTACATTAGAAGGTAAGAACCACTGGTGTGTTTCTCTTTACAAGCTAATTCAGTTATGTTTTGACAATAGGCAGTTTGGGAATTTGGTTCTTCTTTAGTGTTGAATTATAAAAGAACTCAATGTTTGTGATTTCTTAGTAGGGTGTGGGTTTTGTTTGGCTATGATTGTTCGTTTAGTTTTTGTACTTGGTTAGGGTTTTGTTGTTTTACAATCTTAACCCTAATCTTTGTTTGATAAAAAGTTAATTTGGTACTTTCATCATATTTTGATTATATATATAGTGGACAACTTGATGCTTTCATATTGCAGGTCGTCATTGCCTTAAGGTATGTCTCTCGTGCCATGACTTGTAGTAAAGGGAATTCTTCAAGTAATATATATAAGGAACAATGGAATGCACGCATATTTAACTTGAAGTATGATATCGTACTTGTATTCAATGGTTCTAGACGCGATGAACTTATTATAGTTGTCAAAATGAAGTAGTAGTACTATATCTTCAAAAACACGATTGAATTTTAGCCATTTTTTCTGAATGCTTTTATCATCAATTCCTCACCCTTGTTTTTGCTTACGTAGGAAGATATGGTTTTATATTGTCCATGAAGTGAGTCTTGACTATACTGCCTAGATCATGATAATTTGAGGAGTGCTGTCATGAACTTGAAAGAGAAGCAGGGGGCAAGGCAAGTCTTTTGAGTATTATCCTTGAACATTATTCTTAGTCCTCAACCCTTAATGTTATGAGTATTATATTTACTTAATCGGTTTACAAGCTATCTAATTTTTGTCACTTCGTTTTTCATGGCAGAAGGACGATTCATAACTCCTGCAATCTGCATATGTAGTTGGACAATGAAGTATTTTGAAGATTGGAAACTCAAGACCGAAAAAGTCATCATAACATCAAGTTTCGAAAGCAAGTTGAATGCTCAGCAAGTTTCCTGTACATCACAAGGAGGTTGAACATGTTTTTAGTGTCAAGTGAAGTAAACTCTGTATTTGTTGGTAGGTAAAGTTATGTATTTAAGTGATTCAATGGATATTCTCTTTGGATAAGTAAAGAAAAATGTTGGAGGCAAGATGTTATCTTTTTATTTATGTTATTGCGTATTTTTTCTTAATTACCTATAGAAAAAGGGTCAATATAATGTCCCCAACTAGCTAGCCACAATAATTTAATGAAATAGACTATGAGGGACAATATTTTGTCCTTTGTACTAATGTTTTGGGGACGACTTATTGCTGCCGAAGTCATTACTATAGGGACAACATATTGTCTTAAATTAAAAAGAAACAATACGACAATCGTGAGTACCGGGGACAACCGTCGTCCCTAGTATTGGGGACGACTTTAATTTTTTTCGTCCCCAAAAGAATAGAGGACAAGAGTATAAGGGACGAAACATTAGGGACGACTATGTCGTCCCCAAAAACTATGGGGACGATTTTCCCTATTTCCGGGGACGACTTTTATCGTCCCCAAACCTCCTTTTTTTTGTAGTGACTTGACATGCATATACATCTTTAAACCGATGAGATTCTCTCATTCTCGTTAGTAGTTGTTTATAAGTTTAACCACAAATCGACTGCTTTATTATGATTTTTTTCGATATTTATGAAGAACGATCAGCTGGATATATGTATATGTCACGGTCCTATCATAATAATATTTTATTTATTATTAATTAACATATATTATACTAAGAATTATAAAGCTCTTTGGGGTCCAGTCTATCGAAAGAAAATCAAACTTTTTATATATAAACCCATCTTCCTGGAACTTCAGCTAATTAATAACATTCTTGGTGGCTGTTTTTTTCCCCCGTATTGTCGTGTTTGTATTTTAGTTATTGACCTTTGACGAGATGAGAAATTAAATCCAAGACTTGCTTTGCTTGCTTGTAAAGCCAAAGCACCGTGAGTCCCAATAATTGAATTAAGCAATATATCCCATCGATCCATCATCCACACAAAATTTTTTTTGCATGATATAGTAGTGGACGTCATAATCACAAACTGGCTATGCACAGCCGGCCGGCGGTTAGGTCAGTCACGTAAACAAAACCTAGTTAATTAGTTAAAGATGGAAAAAAGGCTAGTCCTCTACGTTCTGTCGTGGCCGGCCGGCGCTCGATCGCCGTGGCATTTCTGAGTTTAGCTTACTGAAAAAAACAGTGTACTACTCTGAATGAAAGTCTTTGTTTAGTTTCTTGAGTAGGACGCAACACCTTGAATATGGTCTCATTCGGATTAAACGTCTGAATACCAAACATTCCAATAACTTGAATCTCATCACAGCAGAAAGATATTAAGATGTTAGGTTCAATATCGGTAAACCGACGACTTTTTCTCTAAATACAGTAATAATTTTTTTTCCTAAACTACAAAACTTGTACTTTTTTCCCTCCAAAAATACATAAATTTGAAGTGGTTCGAGTTAGAGTGTCTCGAACCACTAATGGGATCAAGTTAGTCAGTCTCGATCCACTTTCTGAAGTAGCGGATTGAGTTAGAGAGCGTCAATCCACTACGTTAAAATTTTCAATGACCTTAACTTTATGATCAGTTATCCGATCATAGTGAATTTTTTTTTATTTTACATAGGTTTTCGAGAACTACCAACTTTTTTTATAGAAATATTTTCAGAATGTATGTGAAAATGAACAAATTAAAACTAAAGTTATTCTCAAAACCCCTTATATGCGAAAAGATTTCTTATTTTAATTTTTTTTTCCTAGTTAAAGTTCTAGTACTCGGAAATTTTTGCACAATCAAAATAAATTTTGCGACAATCGGATTACGGAGCACAAATTTATGATCATCTAAAGTTTGAATAAATCGAATTAGGGGTTCGAGGCACTCCAACTCGAACCACCCCAAACTTAGATATTTTGAAGAAAAAAATTCGACAAGTGTTGTAGTGTAGGAGTTTTTTTTTTCATTATTGTTGTATTTAGAGATTTTTTTTTCAAAAACCGAAAGGCTGCTCGTAGGTAGCTAGGTTTGACAAGGAGAAGAATTTGAATTGAATTGAAGAAAGGTGGATGGTGTGGAAGAGATACATAAGTTGAAAGTTTAAAAGTAGTACGTAGTAGAGTGTCAAAGCTCTCTGCCTACTAGCCAGCTTATTTTCGTTCTTTCCTTTTTATCAGTTGGAAAAACTTTCGGCAGGGCATAATGTCTGAATTAGTTCATTTTCGCCGGTACAATTTGATTTCTTTTTGTACAGCACTATAGGTGTGCCGCACACAATGACTAAAATGCACAACCAACTGTTACTTCTATAAGCAAACCCTATTTTCTCTTCATGAGTTTTGTAGCTTTTAACTTTGAAGAAATCATGGCTCGCGGAGGACAGCGTTGATAATTTGTTTCACTAAAACAAAACACGCACGTATGACACGATTGAAAAGGAAACTTACATTCCATGCTCAAACAAAACCAGTGAAAACAAGTTCTTCGTAAATAATTACGTACGTACTTGCATGAGGCTAACGAAATGTACAGTCGAGTCCTCTCTCATTGTCAACAGAGAATAAAATCATGGGTAATATATAGTTATTTAATTGTTCAGGTGTTGAGACTTATTGTTTTGAATTTATGATGATGTTTTTGTAGAGTCTGCAAATAAATATCCCACAGCGTTTGGACCGAAGACATTTTTATAAGCATACATATTTGATTTGGACCGATCTTGATTACATTCAAACTAGTACGTACGTAGTTTTTGAAATCAAACTCGATATCAATTCACATCATCATGTGCTGTCCAAAGAACAGGCTAAGATATTTATAACGGGGGGAAGAAATAGTCCAACCAAAGATTATTATCTCAAAGTTCCAATACTCATAAAAATTTACCAACCATAATGGTGGCTCAAGCCGCGGTAAGCATGAAGTTGGCACGATGTTGTTCTAACGATGGCCGTCGTATAGGGTTGTAAGCCCAATACCGTCGAAATATGATTTTTCCCCTACTTATTTATGTAATCGTACGTGACAGCTTCCTACAAATGCACATAAGTCATCTTCGTACGTAATATAGAAATTTTTAAAATTGAGCTTTAAGTTATTTATTTATATGTAAATTATACTAAAAAATTGGTCCAACCCATGAAAAGGAAAATTTTTACAAACCCCATCTTCCTGGAAGTTCAGTTGTTAACATTCATTCTGGCATTGATGGCTGATCATTTATTGGTGTATCTGTAATTTAGTTATTGACCATTGACGAGATGATGATGATGATGAACGATTAAATCAAGACTTGCTTGCATGTAAAGTCAAAGCACCGTGAGGCCGAATTAAATAGTGATCATGATCACAATTAACTAGTATCCCGTCATCCCCAAACAATGCATTTTCCGTCAGTATATGTCATAATCTCATTATTATAGACAGATAGATAAGAATGATTTAAGAGGTAATTAGATAGGAAGCCGGCGGTTAGGTCACATAAAATAAAAGCTTAGTTTTAGTTAAATACATATAGAAAGACTAGTCCTGTTCCGTTGTGGCCGCGCTCCATCGCGGTGGACATGGTAAACGTACGTAATAGCTAGGTTGAAAGTCTTGTTTGGTTTCTTGGGCAGGACGCAACGCTTAATTTGAACTATGAGGCATTGAATTTGGGTTATTTCTCTAATTCTCTTCAACGTGAAAGGTGACACACTTTCAAGTAGCTTACGTACACAGATGAGAGAGGATTAGACGATCCGTCAAACATGTTATGCTTATGGTATTGACGTATTGTTACTATTGCAAAAGGATATGGCATGATGATGGAGGAGAAGTGCTATAATTAGGTCAAGTTTGTAGGAGAAAGTTTGGTAAATATGAGGGTATTGAGGGGTTGTTTGGAGGTTGGGATTCTCCAAATTGAAGTATTTAATTAATTTGTATATTGTGATTTGATGTATTGATGAAATGTATGAATTTGAAAAATACTTTGTTTGGAGGTTTAGATTGTGCTTTGTTATAAATGAAAAAATAGAGGGTAGACAGTCCTTTGGTTACAATCTCATCTTTTGGTAGAGATTGTTAATCACTCATTTTGAGTGATTGTAGGTGGACCCAGAAAAACGTAATGCATTTATTCTATCACAAATTTAACAACAACAAAAATGACTTAATCTTGACATTACATGCATTGCTTGAAATCCCAACCTCCATAAAAGACCCCTGAATATCCTTCCTACAAAAATGTTATATAGCATTGAATTAATTGGAGTTTGGGGCTATAAACCCTAATGAGTAAAAGCTCGGTCATAATTGTTTATCATGCACATTAAAATCAATTTAATTGGAAGTATTTTATCAACGGTTTTGATTTATCGAAATACACCCAACATATTAGAGGCACCATCTTGGGAGTTAGGGAGTAGGGTTTAGAGGGTTAAGACATAAGGTTCGTTCATTAAGAATTATAGTAAAATACGATGCCCAAAATTCGGTCAATTCAAAGACTAAATTATTAATTTTTACTAATTATGTATATATACCGAGATCTACTTAAGATCATTCCCAGGTCTGGATGTTAGGTTGAACATTTTGAAACCGCCGGAAAAGTTGGGTAGGTAGGTTTGACAAGGAGAAGAATTTGAATTGAATTGAATTGAACGTCGTCGTCGTGGAAGAGATTAGTAGAAAGTTTAAAAGTAGTAGTATTAGTAGTACTACTG